TCCCAAGCCGTTTAGGGCTTGGGACCTGGATATCTAAAGGAACGCTTGCGTCCATATATGCCCTCCCGCCCCTTGAGATCAGCAACGGATGCCCTTCTCCGGGAACCCTCCGTGAATGATACTAGGAGGGTGAGTACCCGGAGGAGGGCTTTCTCTGCAGTGGCGCCCCATCTATGGAATGCGCTCCCCAGAGAGGTCCACCTGGCACCGTCGTTATGTGTTTTTTGGCGCCAGGCTAAGACCTTTTTATTTAAAACTTATTTTAATTCTTAAATTATTGAATTAATTAGGATTTTAAATTTTTTAGCCGAGAATGCTCCTGGGGTTTTTAAATGATTTTTAAAAAAATTATTATATTATCATTATTTATGTACGTATTTATGTATTCTATGTGAGCCGCCCTGAGGCTTTGTTGTGATGGGGGCGGCATAGAAATGTTTTAAATAAATAAATACATAAATAAAATATTGGTGCAGGAATCCACTAGTGTACAGCAAGACTAAAAACTATGCATCCTTTCTTGTTTTATTTATTCATTTATTCTTGGTGATGTTTCATGCAGTGATTCATGGCCTGAATTTTGTTTCTTCTGTCTTTTGAGATATCTATTTTATTTACTGGTTTCTCTTCCTGCCCCCACCAAGTTCTACTTGCCTAGCTTCCCCCTACAAACCAGTTCTATGAGCTATTGCATTGCTGGTGGAATAATACAGGTCACACTTAAGCTATAACTACCCACATCAGGCCTACCAAGCTGAACACAGTCCACCATCCGTATATTTGCAATCTGACAGGTTATCAACAACCCCACTGCTTTTGCTTCCTCCTTGGGGCTGGAAAAATGCAGCCCACATGATTTTGGCAATGAGCCATGTTTAGTTTGGAGAGTCACAAGTTGTCTGGGCCAGGTAGAAGCATTTATTTTGAATGTCATGCTTATTTCCAAGAGCAGAACTTATATATGCAAAGCTTATTCCTGCAAGATGCTGTCCACAGCCTGAAATTGGAAAGCATGATTAGGCCTACAGCTGAGCATACTGATTTCTAATATCTTCCCCAGGACTATTCTTGTGCTTAAAACTGAGTGAAATGAAGTAGTAAAAGCATGTGTCTGTGTTGGCTTTGATTCTATTATTGGCAGCATACTGGTAAATATTTGTATCTGTTTGCAACACCTGAATACGTTGGCATCAGTAAGTTTGCTGACATTGAATTGGTGTTATAGTCAATATTCTCCATCCTATGAGCTGGAATAGTTAATCTCTGAATTGGGCTTTGAGCTGTAAATTTATGTTAAAATTTGTATTTGCTGACTGTCAAGCCAAAGAACTGTCGAGGTGAAATTTATTCCTGCCTGGCAGTCTTGTGAGAACAGGACTTGACTTGGGGAGGAAGTTGCTCTCTGTTTCAGTGTACAAATGTCAGTTGTTTGAAACCAGATATATGGCAATTCAAAAACTAATGATTGAATGAGCAGTCAAGAAGCCTCTGACTCATGTGCTCCCCCCTTCCCTTCTCTTCTTTCCCTGAACTCAACAATTCCTAGTCTCCCATCCTGGTTTGAGGCATCTCATCTGAACTGGCAACCTAAGATTCGTCCTTGCACTGCAAAGTAGAATCAAAAGCCAGGATTGGGAGACAGAGTTTAGAGGCAGCCACTCCCAGGCTGCTTAACTCCCTGGTTGCATAATGTATGCTGGTCATAGTTGGTTGCTGTATTGAAAAATGTCCATGCACTGTACTTCTCAACAATCTTGTTTGGGAGAAATCTCCATTGAATTTGGTGGGATAGACTTCTAAAGAACTATTCATGGAAGTCAAATGCATTAAACCTTCTCCCTTTTCTGGCAGCATGGTGGTATGGAGTATCCTAAAGAAGGAAGCAATCTGTGGCAGTCCAGCTTCTGCTCGTAGTGCTGGGAACCCAACCACACTGGTGTATTCCAACTGCAGGGATGAAATGTTCGTTAGCGGTGGAAAGTATGGCTTTGTTATTCTGTAGGAGAAGCATCCATTTCATTTTATTTTATATATACAATGTAGCTTTCAAATTGTTTTAATTGGCCAAAACCTGCTTACTTGGATGTCAAGCACTGCACAAGTGAGATAGTGATTTTTCCTTCACTGTTTCTGGATGACGGTAATGGGAAATGGTTAGTAATTGCATACCAGTGTGCTGACAGACATTTTGAAGCATGTTGAAGCCTCTAGTAAGCTTAGAGCTAAATTCTTATATTCTGTAATTAACAAGAGGAATCTTACATCATAGTCCTATAACACTTATTTGGTTTGCAGTCAAAGAATTTAAGGAGGCAAGGCAATGTAAAATCACTACACACTGTGGCCTTTTAGTTCTAGAAAGAGGGTATTTTTGAAACTGCAAGCTTGTTTATTTTCACCCATGATATGCAATCATTGCCTTTTATAGAGAGTGAAGTGATGGAATCAGTCATCTGCATTTTCCTTGGGATTTGCTATATCTTGAATGATTACTACTTACATGTAGCTGACTGAAAGGAGCTTTCATAGAAAATTATGTTGTTTGAGAGTGCTTGGAGTTGTGGTTGGGACCTAACTCAATCTTCTGTTCAATGGCCTAATCAACCAACCAACACCCCTATCCATGTGCCCAAATAATGGGAAAATAGAATGATTTTGTGTTGAAGTTTCTAGTCCACCAGAGTGACATACAGCATGTTGCATATCTTTCCTAGGTTGGTAGGCCTGACACTGCTAGTCTAAAAGGAAAGTAGTAAATACTTTGAATATTGTGCTGAAGAAGTTTATGTGACACTGGTCTATCTGGAATCATTCTGAAATCTGTTCTTTGGCTGCAGTGGAACAATTCGAGTATGGGAATTGGACTTACCCAACAGAAAAATTCGACCAACAGAATGCCAAACAGGGCAGCTGAAAAGGATAGTTACATGCACTATGGTAAGGGCTCTTTTAATCTGACACCTACAGTATGAAGTTGGACCAAAAAGAACAAGCAGTGCTAGTTATCTTGAAAAGGGTCTGTTGAATGGTTTTGTACTTTTGATGAAGCGTGGTCTATTTTGTTGTACCCTGCCACCTCTCTGTCAGAAACAAAAGTTTCATAATTGGATAATACCTTCCCCTGGAGGAAGTCCCCATCACTGAACTCAGCACACAGAGGGACTGAAAGAAGACAGCTTACTGTTGCTATGAGCCACTGTGTCATCTCCGACATACAGCAGCCCTATGCCACGCAATGTGCGCTCTCCTTGACTGCCCTGCTCAGCTCTTGTAAACTCAAGACTGTGGCTTCTTTTTTGGAATCAATCTATCGCACAGTTAGTGTTCCTTTTCTTCTTCTACCTTTGTCTTCTCCAGTGAGTATTGCATTCTCATGATGGGCCCGAAGTATGACAGCTTCAGTTTCACAATTTTTGCTTCCAGGGAAGGTTCTGGCTTGATTTGATTTAGGACTCACCTGTCCGTGTTTAAGTTGACCCAGGTTATTTCCAAAGTTCTCCTCTAGCACCATGTTTCAAATGCATCAATTTTTTTTTCCTGCCAGCTTTCTTCACTGTCCAACTTTCATATCCATATGTGGTGATTGGGAATACAATAATGTGGGTGGTTTTAGCCTTAGTCTCCGGGAAAGCATTGTTACACTTGATCTTTTCTAGTTCTTCCATTGTCTCAGCCTTTTTCTAATTTCTTGGCTGCAGTCTCCATTTGTAATGTTGATTGAGCCAAGGTAAGTAAACTCTTTCACAATTCCAGTTTCTTCATTTGTTGACATGAAAGTTGTGTAGTTCTTCTTCAATCATGGTTTTTGTTTTCTTAATGCCCAGCTACATTCCTGCTTTTGTATTTCTTTCACTTTCTTCAGGGGTCATTTTAGTTGATTGCTGTTTTCTTCAATTATTACCTGTGTATCTTAAAGTACTGGTGCATCTTCTCTCAATTTTCACTCCTGCTTCCTCTGATTCTAATCCAGTTTTCCTTATGATACATTCCGTGTACAGACTGGGAGATAAAATGCACCCTTGTCTGATGACTTTGCCTTTAAGAAATCATTCTGTCTCTCTATATTCTGTCCTAACATTAGCTCCTCTTCCACAATACAGATTACACATCAGGAAGATCAAATGCTGAGGCACAGCTGCTTTCAGAATCATCCATAGTTTTGCATGATCCACACAAACAAAGGCTTTGCTGTACTGATCCTCTGAAATTCTTAGGTGTGCTCCAGTAGCCAATGTATATTTGCAGTATGATTTCAAGGGGCTCTTTTCAGAATACAGCTTGAATGTCAGGCATTTCTCACTGCATATAGAATAATATTCTTTGCTGCAATACCTTGAGCAGCATTTTGCTTGCACAAGAAATGAGTGCAAAGGTCTTGTAGTTGCTGCACTCTTTTGTATCTCCTTTCTTGGGGATTGGAATGTATACTGAATGCTTCAAGTCTGTGGGCCATTGTTTTGTTTTCCATTATTTGTTGGCTTAATCTGGTTAGATTTTGAATTGACTCAGTCTCTGCAACTTGGAAAAAAAAATGTGGAGTCCTCTTTCTTTCAGGTGCTTTGCTCCTTCCAAGTACTTTCAGAGCACCTGTCACTTCTGTTTCCAATACTGCAGGTTCTTCCTCATAGGATTCTTCTTCAAAGGATTCTGCCATCCTCTTATCTCTTTTGCATAGTTCTTCTGAGCACTGTTTCCACCTTCTCTTTATTTTATCTTGGTAAGTGTACTCCTCTGTTGGTCTTTTAGCATTCCTCATCTAGGTTTGAATTTCCCTTTAATTTCTTGGTTCTTCTTGAAGAGGTCTCTTGTTTTTCTTCTTATGCTGTTCTCTGTTTGTTTCTTTGCACCAGCCATGGTGATAGTTATTTTTGCCTAACAATTTCCTTTTGCTTGAATAAAAAGAGAAATGGCAGATCCTGAAAGATCCCATTCAAGTAGTCTGCAGAGTTAATGGATCTAACGCATTCCAGCAAGTCATCCACCCTATCTTCCACAATCTTTCTTGTGACCTCAAGACCAGGGACGTGTTTAGCCAAAGCCGAGACTAGAAACTACAGTACATGTCTGGCAGCATGGTACCCTTCCACTGTTGAGCTTTATACAGAAGAGAGGAAGATGAATGGAAGTACACCTCAAATCAAGGTTACAGGGAGACTCCAAGAAACGATAGGACAGCAAAGCTAGTTATAAAACCTTCACATGCTGCCTAGCTATTGCTGGAATAACTACCCAACTAGTTCAGACTGCTAGTTTGAACGCTCCCCTTGTTGCTTCAATAACTTTATAATGTAGCTTCTCCTTGCTGTGTAAGTCCCCAACCCTACCAATAATATAGGCAGTCAAAGCTGCATATGTGTTATTTCTGCTTTTGTATTAAGGTCTTCATCAGACGTCCTTTGCTAGATGCCCCTTCGGCAGCTATGCATATGACAACATTGGGTACAACCTTTTTGGCTTGTCTAGCACTTAATACAGCCAAAGCCTTTTTTAAATCCTTCCTGGGATTGCTTTTAAAACACCAGTTGAATTGTTTTAGCAATTATGTTGTTGTTTTTTATTCTGCTATCGCTAGTGATTTTATTGCTGTGCTCTGTTTTTGCTGAATTGTTTTATTCTTTGTTAAATGCTTACTACATTTGTAATGGTCCTCCATAAAATATAATTTCAGAAGGGATCTGATTTTACTAAGTAAGTAAGTAAATAAATAAATAAATAAGCAGTGGTGGGAAGCAAAAGACATCAGGATAGAAAAGTATTGCTTTTCATTGATTTTGGTCCTTTGGGCATCCACTCTTTATCTCTTTTCCTCTAAAGCAATGAATTTATGTTCTGCTAGATCAAAACTATTTCTGCATAGTGGTGAAGGGTGTGGTGTGTGCAACTCATCTTTTTCCTCAACCTTTCTCAGATGACAAATGATGACACCTACTTCTATATTGGCACATCCACTGGTGATGTCCTGAAAATCAATACAAAAAGCCGGCTGATGAGTGACTACGGCCCAGTGAAGGAAAAATTCAGCCTGGTAAGTAGGTGCTATGCTCTTCCTCTTGCTAGCAGAGATACTATTGCAACCAAAGTGGTATTGCAGAGTTTAGCAGGTCAGGTGGCATAAGGAGCTGAATTGCCCCTGATCCTTTAATTCTTCTGACCCTAGCCTGACTCTTTAGTGTGAGCAACATGTTGCCCAGGTGCAGACTGAGTTGCTGTCTGAATGATGTACTTGATTGTCTGCATACTGAGAATCTTTTCTACCTCCCTACCTTTCTCCTAGACTGACACTGCCAACAGAGGAGCATGCACTTGTTAATATACCTGTTAAACAATTATATATTTCAGTGTCCTTGGGCAAGTCTCCCTCACACTTAGTTTCCAGCTGTAAAAGGGAAACACAAATAACAAATATTAGGATCATGGCCAGTTGATTTATACCAAGCCAGATCATTTAGCCAACTAGTCAGGTACTGTGACCTCAGTCAGAATGGGAAACTAGCCCTAGAGGAAAGGTTCTGCTCTGTCCTCCCCTCTACCCACAAGCTCTTGTTCTGATCCAAGTCAGCACCCACATCATAGCTATCAAGAAAGCATGTTCAGTAAGGTCCTAGATTGGTTCAAATTACAAGCTGTTAACAGGAACTGATCCTTTGCCTACCTGTCTGTAGGGAGGCATCTCTTGCAGAGATTCCCATTTCCTTCACTGCATTACCTCTCTTCTTAAACCTGTACATGTGACAACTGGTCAGCTGGTCCTGTACATGTGACAGCTGGTCATGTACAACCTGTACACGTGACAGCTGGTCAGATCAAAAGTTTACTATTTTACTGGTCAGATCAAAAGTTTACTATTTCTTTTGATAGCCCTTCACCCTTACCTATACATCTCATTCTTTTTCAGTCTGATCTGCTCAAACTCTCTTTTTTTGTATCTCCTGCCATTCCAGCTTCTTCCTCCTCCTCTTCTGTTCTCCCAGAAACCTGCTTGTTCAGCAGAGCGCTCCCTGTATTATCCTAGACTTATCTAATCTTTCAACTGTCACTGTACCTGCCTTTATAGCAGGTATCTTCTATAAATTATAAAAGCCTTCAAACTATGTTTGCACAGAACAGGCATGCGCCAAGTTTTCCTTCCTTCACACATTCAAGGCAGCAGGCCATTTCTTTGCAGAAAGCTCTTTCTTCACCAAAAGATACCCAACAAAGGCATCCCTCACAGAATGTATCTGTGTGCATGCATGGTTAGAACTGAACCCATTCTACATAACCACTTCTGGAAACCTTCCTTTTGAGTATGTCTAGACCCAAGACCTTCTGAAAGGCCTGTTTAGAAGTGAGCCAGCTTCTTTTCTATACACCTATCCTCTTGTTGGTGGTCCCTCTTTTCCTGATTCCTCTTTTCCTGATGGTGTCAAGAGTTGTGCCAGGTTTGTCTGATGCTGAGAACTCCTTTCACATGCCCTTACCAACTCCTGTGCCTCTTGGCTCTTCTTGGAGCCTGAGTGAGCACTTGGGGAGAGTGGCCTTGAGAGAAGTAGCCCTTCTGTCATCTCAGAGCCTTGAGCCCCACGTTCCCAAGCCACCTTGTCCCCTTCATTCTCTGACTTGGAGTCCAGATTGATGTGATCTGTGAGTGCATGCCAAGAACAAGTGCCATCCTCATTCTCAAAAAGCACACACACAGATTGGTACCAAATATTGATTGGTGATAGCAGCAGCCTGTAGAACAAAGGAAGGAAATACTTTCTTGCAAGTCTTGTGATTCTCTTCATGGCAGAGGGGACTTCAAAGATAAACTATGAAATTGAACTGAATTGAAGGAATGGGTAATAATCAGAGCAGAAGCTTTCTTGAGTACCAACTCCCATCCAAGAAGATGTAGAAGGAGGATATTAGGGTGTTTAATAAGGATATCTGGCTGAAATTTCTTCTGTTTGCCAGGTGTGATTTGGAGAACTAAAGGCAAAAATCCTAAATTATGTCGGCTGATCACTTCAGTGTCTGTGGCTTATAAAGATTGATCTGGCCATCACCATATCTCAGTTTATTTCTTCCTCCCAATTCAAGAAATAGGAAAAGCAGGAGTACTTTTTGGTATGAAGCCAAATGAGGCATTTGAGAGATCCTTTTTTCAGCAAATAAATATGGGACTTTCTTCTGGTCTATTTTTTCTTTAATCTTTCTTAACTATAGTTCTAAAAGACTTCTTATAAATTCTGTACATACGCTCACAGGCGGATAAGACAGTAAAAGAATTTAGAGTGCCCTTTACCTTCCTGACATTGCTCTTGCTAATGGTTGGAAGCAGCTCACTAGTGGGGGAGAGAAGCTCTAAGAATCCATAAACAGGAAAGGAAGCTATGCTCATATACAGATAACACACTGTGCTGTTTTGAATGGGAGGAAAAGCTTGGCCTTCTCTTGGAGGAAGAGGCTATCAATGGCTTCTAGGCTTGCTGGCTATGTGCTACTTCCATTACCAGAGGAAGCATCCCTGCACATACCATTTGCTGAGGAGTTTAAGCAAGAAGAGGTTTTACACCTCTGTGGGCAGCTGGGTTGCCACCATGCGAGTGCTGGACAGGATGGACCTTTGGCCTCATCCAGCATGACTTTTCTTATGTTCTTAAGACACATTTTGAAATTTCAGAGAGTATGAAGACAGTGAAGACAGAAGCAGAATTACATGTTGGAATAGACCAGGGCTCTCCAACCTTTTTGGGTTAGCAACCATATTTGGAATGTGGAAAGAGTGGAATGGGCACACTCTCAAAATGGCTGCTATGGGGAAATTGCACACCTACAAATGGCAGAGGTGCAATCTCTGCTGCAAATCACAAATCTGTTATATTTTCATGGGTCTCAGCTCCAAAACTCATATCTTTCTGTTCTCATATTCATTTTATAGAAGGCAAACTGCTGAGGCAGAGTAACATGGGACCCAGCATTCATGGAAGTAAAGATAATGTTGGAGGCTGACATTTGTTGCATTGTGCCCGCATCCCATTTTTTAAAATTAAAAATCTTTAAAACATTTTTAAAAACTCGAAGGAAGGGCAGGAAGCCTGGCAGGCAGCAAGAGAGCTGTAACATTGGATTATCTTGATCCTGTAGATATCTAGAGCACGCATGAGAAACTTCTGGTCCATGGATGCGATACTGTTCGCAGGTGTTCCCCATACAGCCTTCCAACTTCTTCCTTCTCTCCAGGTGGAGGACAGTTCTTATCAAGTGAATATGAATATTTATCCCTATGATGGTGAGCTGTTCACTGCACCATGTGAGGACAAAGATGCAGCATCCCTAGCTGATCTGTATGGATCAGCTGAGAAGAGAAGGCTGGGCAAAATGTGTCTGTGAGGGAGAACTGTATGTATAGTGATAGAACAACAAGTACAAGAGTTGAGTGGTAATGGTTACTATTTTCGTAAGATTTCTTGGGTGGCAAGCCAACCTTTAGGCCAGAAAAGGTCCCCATTTCCTGATTGAGATTATGCCAAGAATATTGCTCTTGGACCCTTATTGCTCTGGATCTCAGTTTACACAGGACATTATGTTTTGAAGCTATGGAGAGGAAACTGGAGTTTTTCTGAAGTCTCCCTTAGCAAATATGAACTTGAATTCCCCTTATCAAGTAGAAAGACAAGCTCTTCCTGTAACCCTCAGGCTCAGTGACAACTAACATAAAGTCATCTCTCCCATTTTAAACACCAATTCTTGCTTTGACTTATAGCTCAGAGATACCTGTTTTGTATTTTTAAACAAAGTTCTCTATTTAGTGTAACATCAATTCAAATTTTAGAGGTATAGCCGTGCTTGTCTTTTACAGCAAAGAAACCAGGGTTTCATGGCACTTTAAGACTAAGTAATGCATTGAAGCATGAGCTATTGGAACCAGGAGTTCACTTTATTACATATACAAAGAAGACAAAATTCCATTTTATCTACTGTTATTTTAGGGCAGGGGTCCTCAGACTTTTTAAACAGGGGGCCAGTTCATTGTCCCTCAGACTGTTGAGGGGCTGGACTATAGTTTGAAAAAATATGAATGAATTCCTATGCACACTGCACATTAAAATTAATTTTTGGAAAAAATGAAAAGTAATTAAAATTTTTGAAATAATAAAAATAATAATAATTGATAATTATTAAAATAATTAACAATTAAAAATGTTTGTTCTGTTCACTTGGGCTGCAGCAGAAGCCCGAGATGAGGTGGGGAAGAGCAGGTCCATATTCAAGGGACATAGCTACAATGTCTGCGATCGTGCTGGGAGGGGTGGAGACAAGCATGATCGCGGGTGTGTTTGTGCAGGGAAGGTGGGCGCAATCGCAGCCATCTCCCCCCACCCGAGTATGATTGCGATCATGCCCATCTTCCCTGCATGAGCATGCCCGCGATCGTGACCATCTCCCCTCTGAGTACATCTGCACTGGGTAAGAGCTTTTGGACTCGTTCGGACATCATTTCCCAAGTGAGTCCAAAAGCTCAGAGATGGGCCGGATGCAGCCCATGGGCTGTAGTTTGGGGACCCATGGCTTAGGGGTTTTAGTGCTTACATTAGTCTCACTGTTTTGCTTCTGTTGTGTTATATTAGTTGTGATTTTGATTGTTTCATTCTTCTATAATTGGATGCTCACATGCTCAGTCTGTCTCTGTCTCTCTCTCTGTGTGTGTGAGAAAGAGATGAGGAGAGAGTCAGTGGGTGGGTGGGTGGGTAGTGGTAAACTAAATTTTGTGACACCTTAACCTAAAAAATATTGCAGCATAGGCTTTGTTGGATATGCAAGAAGAGGTTGGGAGTTTCAGTAGTTTCTCATAGCCATATTCATGACATATTCATGTATGCTGACCTACCTGGGTGACCCATGCATTTATCGTTAAGCTATCAGAAGACTTTTCAATCTTTTCTGGTAAATTGACCCTCTTTTTGGTGTGTGTGTTATTTTTATCCAATGCACTTCCATTAAAATTGTGCGTTTGGGGGGATTTTGTTGCCATTGTCTTGCATTTCACAAGGAAGTGTATTATACCAGCCACCAAAGGTTTCATCCATTTAGTTATCAGCAACTCAGCTGATGCATAGCTTAAGAAAACTTCCGCCATAATAAATATATTAGTCTCCAGGGTGCCACAGGAGTTCTTGTTTGTTTTGCTGCAACTCACTAATGCAGCGATCCCTTTAGAAATTGTCAGGAAATTGTATGATTTCAAGTATTTTCTTACTGAAAGTCTGCTGATGAAACACCTTTGAAAATCAAAGCAAGGAAAGGCATTCCTTTATACACATGCTGCTGCCTCAGTTGCTCAAGTAAGAAGGGGTTTGTGTTCCTTGAAAAGAGGTTATATTTGGGTGTTTACATTTTGAAAGGTCCGTAAACTACTTGAATGAAAGGAATGATAATAGGATGCAGAGCTTCATCTCCCTGCAGGGAAATAAGTGAGCTTCAATTTGGCTTGGAAGTTATCTTTTGTAATCAGGATTTGTCAAGGCTGTGATTTCTTTGTGTAACAAGTAAATAATAAAAGAAATGTTAAACCTTCCAGCAGCCTTTGTGTTTAGCTCACAAGGGACAAGAAGCAGAATATTGCATCATTAATATGAACTGCTGAGCATCGTGAATAATAAGAATGGATTATAAAGAGTTTGAAAGGACTGTCTTGATAGGAAAGGAGCAGGACTGAAATCAATCTGCCGTGCTACTGACAGATTTTGTTATGAAAGATTTGGCCATTTCAAGAGTATTACTTTTCTGTAGGTATTAGTGGTACCTGTTTTGATTTGATTGCAACACATAGCACTTGCTTCAAATTGAATATGTTTAGGATTGTGGGTGTATTCGCAGATAGGCTAGCTCTCATGGAAAATACAAGCCCTGTCTTGAGTGCATTAATGCTACATATCTCCTAGCAAGGTAGTCAGAACCTGCTATCACATCACTCCACAACTGTACGTTTATTTGCAATTGTGCCACCTGTCACATGCCTAAGCCCAGGGCTGTTTCCAGCAGCCTACTCTTCTAGGGAATTCTGTGCTGCTGCAGATCAAAGACAGAGTTGATAGGTATTTGATAGCTGGGGACTTGTAAAGTGCTGCTGATGCCCCTTAGAAAACTTTGTGTGATAATCCTGCTTCTGGAGAATAAATTCTGAGGAGGAGCAGCACTCATCATTTGGCTTATTCTGTTTGCACAAAAACAGTCTTCCATTCCCATGCAGATATCAGGAGAACTTCTTTTATTTAGAAAGGACATTTCCATTTCTGGTGGTATTTTTAATAGAAGATATTGCTGTTAACAAGTTCATACACACAGACATGGCTAAGTGACCACTTGTGACACAACTGGGAAGGTGGAACTCAGTGTGGTAATTAGTTAGCATGAGCAGTTCCAAATACAATTTGGAAAAATTGCAAGCAGTTAAGAGGTTATGTTGCCATGACTAAAATCTACCCAAACCTCACAGGAGAGAATTTTAGATGGCTTACCACAGCTCTGTATTTTACAGAGTGCAGGGTGGCTGCATATGTGAAGCAGACCTAAGATTGTCAAGCAATAAATAAAACATATCATTGTGGGTGTTTGAAAGTGTCTGATTACCAAAAAGTGGAAATGATCAGAAAGAACCTTCCGTTAGTGCTTTATGGAAAGACAAATGAAGGCATGTTCAAAACATGATACTGGGCTGAATGGACTATCAATCTGACTCCAAGAAGGAGGTTCTTATGTGACTGCTTAAATGAGCAATGGAACATTCTGAGACAGCACTAACCTATATGTAAATAACCTTAATGATGACTCCTGCCATGATCGTCCCTTTACCTGCTTTTCTGTCTCCCTGTCTTCATTAATATTCAGACTTTCTCAAGCCTTCACTGTTCATTCCCAAAAGCCAAAAGTGATGGTCCTGTCAGTGTTCAACTCCTAGATGTATGTCTGTATTCTCAGATATTAACGTTCTGACTTGAAGAAACACTCGATCCTTCATCAGAAGGGCAGAAATAACTGCATAAACTATGAAGGGAGGTGCATATCCCCAAGTATTCAGGGATGCCTTGCAGTTGAACCCAGAACAGCTGCCATTGCCTGCAGGTTTCTGGAACATGTACATCACAAATTTGAAGATATTTGTCATAATTTATGAGCAAATTTGTACATCATGCTAGTACAAAACATAAACTAGGGTGGGGTGGTCATTCTCTGAATAACCTGTGGGTACACCAAACAGACGATAAAGCTATCTGCATATTGTTCTCCCACTCCTGTTGTTTAAAATTCCTTTTATCTTGTCTTTGCTATTGCACAAGTATGCCTACCAGACAGCCATAAAGCACTTTTGCAGAAGACTAAGATAATAAGACAAAATAAAATATTATGACTTCCACTTTGCATTTTGAAGCACTGGAAAATTTTAAAAGCCAAGGAGAAAGAAACTCTCATTCCAGAGCGCTGTTCTGGTATCTGTGGAAGCATGAGATGCCCACCCATGGTGAGATAACAAAAGGAAGCGGGGGGGGGAGGGGGCAGTTGCCGCTCTTGCTGAGTGGCTCTGTTGCCATTCTTAATAACCCATGACAAGGTCAACCAGTTGGGTTTGGATGACAGAACAAGCCGTCATGATCACGACCAAGCCTAAAACAAGCAAGTGGCTCTGCAGGGACACATAGCAAGTGTCATGGATTTGAGGTACTGGTTTGCCATTACAAAAAGTAATTCCCCACCCAAATTTGGTGTTACAGTACTTTGATGTTTATACTTCGGTGCTCCAGCAAATGCACTCTGTTTTATATTCATTTCCCCTGAACTTGGCTATCGGGGTGAGATTTTTACATTTCTGTTATCTTTTGTTTCTCCTTTTTGACTAAGGTCTCTTGTACATCAACCTGTGTGTATACATCTGATGCAGGCAAAGCAATGGGAGTGCTGAGAATCAGCAATGGATGAAAAGAACAGCAATAAACTGAAGCTCAGTCCTGAGAAGCTAGAGATACTATTGTTGGTGGCTTGTCTGCCTAAGGGGGTGGTATTCAGCCTCTTCTCTTCTGTTCCCCAAATGGTTTGCAGTCTGGGAATACTCATAGGTCCAGCTCTATAGCTGATGGAGAAGTAGCATCAGTTGCATGGAGCCCCTTTCCCAGCTGTGCCCCCTCCTGCATAGGGAGAGCCTGGCCATAGTTATGAATGCTCTGTTCATCTCTAGGGGTGGACTACTCCAGTGTGGGCTTCTTCTTGAAGACTGCTGGAAATGGCTCAGCTTCAGAGTAGGACCGTTAGCAGAGAATGTCCCTTGCCAGTGCTTAAAAGAGCTCTGCCTGGCTTCCAGGTCATTTCCCAGCACAACTCAAAGTGCTGCTGACCTTCAAAGCCCTGCATGGCTCGGGATCTAGATACCTGAGCACACATTTTCTCCCACAGAATTGTGCTCATTTGCTGCAACTACCTTTGGAGGTCCTCCTCCAGATGGCCCTTCCATCTGAGCTGAGGTGGGTGGTGAGAGGGCCTTCTCAGTTTTGGCACACTACTTGGAGAGATTTCTCCTGTGACAGGCTTGCCTGGGAACTGTGTGATGTCTTTCAGCTACCAGGTGAACCTCTTTTTATTTCTCCAGGCTTTTGATATGAATGCCTTGGTTTGATGGTGTCTTCATGTTTTAGCTGTTCCTGTTCTCTTTTAAATCATTACTCTTTTTAATTTTCTTATAGCTTGATATACTGAGTTGTAATCAGTGGTGGCCTTGCACTAGTGGAAAGCACTTCTACTCATGTTCAGCAAGGCACTTTATGTTTGCTTCTCTGTCCCCACAGCAGGCCTCTGTACCATATCCCATTTCATCCCTCAAGCAGCTTTTCCAGAAGCATAGGGGGAATTGACAAGATTCAAGTGCCCCACCAGACTCAGACAGAAGTTTGCTTGGGTACAAAGCCATCAACTGGATTTGATTCATTTAATGCACAGCCAACAACTGAATTCATCCCATTTTATTTATTGGTTTTTTCATAAACAGCTTTGAGTGTGTACCTGAAAAGTCAAGACATTATTCTTTTAGGTAAACACATAGAGCTCTTAACATCCTTGATCATGTATAAATTCCCCCCAAGATTGCTTTAATACTGCCTCTTAACTGCTTATTCTTGCTTTAAGACAGTGTGTTTATTTATAAATATATTGTGGAACACCAGATTGGACATTTTATATTTTTACGGAAGGGGAGATATAAAACATATATAAAATATTTTGTACCCACTATTCAATATCCTCAAATACTTTGGCCACCTAATGAGAAGGAAGGACTCCCTGGAGAAGAGCTGGGAACAATAGATGGCAAAAGAAGAAGGGGACGGCAGAGGATGAGGTGGCTAGATGGAGTCACTGAAGCAGTCGGTGTGAGCTTGAGTGGACTTCGGGTGATGGCAGAGGACAGGAAGGCCTGGAGGAATGTTGTCCATGAGGTCACAATGGGTCGGACAGGACTTCGTGACTAACAACAACAACAACAACATTCAATATCCATCAAATGAAGTAGGCTGCTGCTCATGATAGCTGATGTCACAAGCTCCTGTCCAGGCACATAAAGTTTCTCATTTATGGAACACCTGTAGAAACAGAACTTAGGTATTGCCTGCATCTATGTGTTTGGCTAGCCATATGATTTTTTTCTTTTCCTATTTTGTAGACTTCTAACTCTAAAAGTGTTTCTTTTCTGCGCTGCAGAATAATAACAACTTTGCCCCTTTCCATAGATTTGATAAAAAAAGTAATCTTAATTGCATATATGCTACCTCACTTTGCAAGACACTCTGTTGGATTATCCAGTCATACTGCACAAATGCAGTGATACAGCTAGTATGTAAGTATCTCAATTCTTGTTTCTTCTAGGGAATCACAGCATTGCTTTTGCTGAAGACAGGCGACTTAGTTATTGGTACTGGAGCTGGAGTTGTAGCTCTTTGCTCAGGAGCCAAATATAAAGTAATCAAGTGAGTTTCTGCATATTTATAGGCAAGGACATTACCATACAAAGAATGCACCACTTACATGCAATGAGGAAATCATGGTACATAACACAACATTGTACAACAATTGCAAAGTTGGTAAGTATTTATTTTTAAGCAGGCAATGCCGCACACCAGATCAAAAATGGCAGAAGGTAGATCCAGATGTATTGGAAGATCTCTGTAAGTCAATCAGCACTGTGGCAATAGGTCAACAAGATTTCCAACTCTCAGTTTTTTTAATAATGGTAACAACAAAATGGTGCCCCACCCTAAACAGTATTGATGGAATATAGAACGCTTTGTATAACCAGGAGTGAATGTAGCTCTTCTTTACAAAGGACAAATTCCTAAGCTCAGAGTTCTTTAATTCTAAGTGCATACACTAGACTCTGGCTTATGGATCTCAAGGTTCTACTAAAAGTAGATCTTACAAGCCTAAAGTCTTTGCAATCTTGCTTTAGATAAACTGATTTCAACAGAACTTTCTTCCAAACAGGATGGTAGTCTTATTGATGATAGGTGGAGGGCAATGACTTACGTTATATTACTTAGTTCTTCTACTGGATAAATTGAATCTAATACAAGAGGAGTCTACTATCCTTTAATTTCATACCTGCTTATCAAATGTATTGAAATTAATTTTGAGGTGCATTCTGAATGTTAAACTCATTTGCAAGCTAAGCAGCTAGAGAATAAGTGGTGACCTTTATTAGTGTTCTAAAGGTGGGTGGGGGAGGTTCTGATTGTAAAATGAAACTCAAAGATCCATTTTGTCAGGCAAGCCTAAGATCAGCATTACCAAATCTGAATTTTCACACAGTGGTTGTTAATTTAATTTGATGGTGTTCATTCTGCAAGCTGAGCAGCTGGAGAATAAAATGGTAACCTTTATTAGACCTCTAGAAAAGAGGGTGTTTGATTGGAAAATGAAACTAACAGATCCATTTTGTCAGGCAGACTTTAGGCCAGTATTACTAAATCTGAATTTTCACACAGCAGTTGTTAATTCATTTTGATGGCTTTTTGTTTAAAAAAAAAATCAGCTCTGAAATACAAATTTGCCGATTGATGCTATCCAATCATGTGAAAAGTAAACCAGACAATTTCAGTTCATAGATAATTGAAAATGGCCACAGTTATTTTCAGCTGTGCAGCTTTAATTTTAACAAATGACAAGGTAGCATATTTTTTAAAGGAGGAATGACCCACAACACCATTAAATGCTCTGTAATATTTTACACCTGAGTATTTCCTGATTACTAAGGCCAGGTTCTGCCATCAGCCATTACTGGAAGGAAAAATATAGCACAAAAAAGGTAAAAGCAAGTCCTGGGTGGAATGAATGATCAAAAAAGTAGTCATCTTCTACAGTAAAAATTTCCTTTGGCTCTACAGGAAAGTTCAATTGAAAGGAGCTGTCACATCTATCACACCACGAGGGCAGGGCCACCAGTTTTTTGTGGGCACAAATGAAGCACAGATTTATCGATTTGCATTTTCGGATTTTAAGGATGAGCTCATAGCCACCTGCCACAGCGAGGCCATCCATGATATCATTTTCCCATTGTAAGTGCAACTTAGAAATTTTTTCTGTTCTGTACAAATGGAAAGGGCACTACGGATTGAGGTGATGACTTGACTGCTGCCAGGTCTATTACCTAGTTCCAGTTTCTTTACTGCAATTAGATTTATAAAAAGTGTTACTGACAAATCTCTCTACGGTCCAGTTCATGTTCTGAGTTTGGAAAGAACTTTTGCTTGGGACCTGACTTATTTTGGTGAAAATATTCCATTTCTCCTCCATTTTAAGCTGTCCTTTAGATGTTGTTCCAGCTTCATGGGAGCTGTTTACTCATATGAGCAGTTCTCCTGTTTTTGGAGCTGCACAGAATGACTTAAGCAAGCAATTTTTATTAAACCAATGCCATTAGATTGGCCTTAATCATGTTATTGAGTCAACCAGATGCATCCTTCAGCCATGTTGGATTTCTTCATGGAGAAATGACTGCCCTGTAACTGGCACAATGAAAGCTTCTTAACTGAATGGTTATTTTATTTAGGATAGCCTTCTTCCCTGCTGCCTAAGCCTAAACATAATCTAAACTAAGACTAACACTGCCTTCATAAGTGTCTATCCGTATCAGTGGCAATGCAGTCTTTCCATTTCTTCAGGTCATGATAAGAATGTTGTAATTAAGAACTGACGCCTGAGTTTTTCTTCTTCCTTTTCCCCTTTCAGTCTTCTTTCCTTTTGTGTCAGCTCTTTGTACCTGTAAAGGCAAGGGCCATCCCATTATTGATCTTGGGAAGCTTTCTGGAAGCCCTTTTCAGCTCCGATGTTGGGTAACCATGCTTTTACTCAACAAGGTGGTTTGAACATTAGTCTGAGAGTCAGTGTGGTATAGTAGCTATAATGATGGGGCTCAAGAGGTCCACATTCCACTCCCCACTTTGCTGTGAAGCTTTCTGGATGAATGTGGGCCAGTCATGGACTCTCAGGCTAACAAATTTACAAAGTGGTTGTGGCAAGGATGAAATGGAGAGGTGAAGAACCTTGCAAGCTTCTTTGGGTTCCTTGCAAGAGGAAGAATAGTGTGTATAAGTGTAATATAATTTTAAAATAATAGGCTATCTGCCCTGGTTCATCATCTATTTGAATTCTCCTCTTGAATAAGCAGGAGTATTCCTGTTTTCTGTCAGTACTGAGATCATGATATTATTTAAAGATGAAGGTTCAGTTGCTGCCTTCTGCAAACTGGCTGCTTGAGACAGACAGGTAGCTTTGCAGGCCACCATGCCTCTCCTGTCATATGGTGTCAAACATTTACCGAGTTAAAAAAAACAAGTGCTGGAAGCAATCGCAGATCACCCTTGTCATCAGAGTGCCAGCAGGCATCTCTTCTGTTTAATGAGACAGTCCTGTGAGGTGTACAGTATTCTGATGCCCGGGTGTGATCCATGCCTCTCATGTGGGTGCTCTTCAGATGAGTGCAATGGCATGCTATTGTTTAACCCTACTTGGAATTACTCATCTGCTTTATGTTCTTGAGCAGGGCACAGAGCAGCATGTGAATCATCCTTTTCTGCTTTGACTTACTCTGAAATTCACTGAAGTGCTGGTGTTGTTCTGCTATGTAAAGATGATAAGATGTTTGAGATGCTCTTAGAGATGGCTTAAAATATTTTTAAATAAATAAAAAATACGGCCTAGTGGCTCAGTCCTGTCATCTGGTAAGTTGCTGAGATTTAGCAGCAAGCCTTTCTCTTGTATGGTACTTCCTAAGCCCGGTTCTCTGCCTTCCACAGTGGTACATCTGACTTATTTGCTACCTGTTCCAAGAGTGACATCCGTGTGTGGTATACACCTGAAAATAGGGAGCTACTACGAATAACAATTCCCAACATGACCTGCCATGCCATTGATTTTATGAGGGATGGCAAGAGCATCATTTCAGGTGAATGCATTTTGCATTGTCCGGTTTAATGAAGCACTGTATCCACTGTCAGGTGCCTTCATTTGAAGTCATGGCTTTGTCACTAGTCAGACCACTCAGGCTCCCTAGAAAGTACTAAGGTCTTTCAGCACTGTAGAAATGGTGCTGCTGCATTATGGGAACTGAAAGTTGCAGAATCTGGGTGAACAAATTGAACTGGGGTCATGGCAGAGGTTAGATGAAACCCACTGGCATGAACCCTGCTGTGGTTTCTGGCACAGAAAGCACCAAGTTTCTCAGCTGAAGAGAGGTGCAGTGCACGTCAAATACTGTCTGCTCAGCTTTTACCTTTGTGGGAAAAAATGATAACAGCCACCTCCTCTAGATACTTGTCAGCTCTGTAGTGAAGCTATTCTCATACTAGCACCAACCATGTGCATTCTCTGTAAAGTAGTAAGACAATACTTGGTGGAGGGAGGAGATGTGAAAGAGATTCTTTGCCCTGAACAGTTGCTTTTACTGTGCTTTAGCTTGGAATGATGGGAAAATCCGTGCCTTCACTCCAGAAACTGGGCGGCTAATGTACGTGATAGAGCATGCTCATAGTATGGGTGTGACAGCTGTGGCTACCACAAGTGACTGCAAAAGAATTATCAGTGGGGGAGGTGAAGGCCAGGTAAGGTACCCCAAACATCCATGGACCTGCTTTGTAGTTTTCACGCTATCAGTGCCTATGCCTTATTGATTATAGGATCAAGTGATGATGACTGAAACATTGGAGGCAAATAGAACTGTACAGATTGATGCCAACTACAGCACTATTATTTTAATGAGAGACAGAGCAAGTGTGCAGCGGTGTGTCATTGCATGACAATTAAGTGATGAGTTTTATGGGTGAAGCCAACCTCAAACCATATAAACTGCAAATCCCTGGTTCACAAGTTCTGCCACAAATATTTTCAAGTGGCCTTAAGCAAACCACCACTCTTCGGGCATATTCCTCATTATAATAAAGAAATAAGGTTGGCCCGACCTATTTAAGGAGTCTTAGAAATAAGTTAGTTTAAGGGTTGCTGATATAATATTTTTTTAAAAACATTTATATGCCATCCTTTACAACAATGTCTCAGGATGGCTTACAACATTAAAACCAATAACCAACAAAATATATTGGTTATTGCACAGATTTTGAGCATGTAGGGTAAAAGCACTATTTAAACTGCTGAGAGAGGTCATTAGGAGGTGTGGGCTGCGGAATCATCAGTATGCTGATGATACCCAGCTCTACCTCTCTTTTTCAACCGATCAGGTGAGGCAGTGGCTGTACTGAACCAGTGCCTGGCCGAGGTAATAGGCTGGATGAGGGCCAATAAACTGAAACTCAGTCCAGACAAGACAGAGGTCCTGTTGGTGGGTGGTTCGAGCTCCTGGGTAGGTGACTTGGACCTTGCCCTGAATGGGGTTGCACTCCCTCTAAAGGACAGGGTCCACAGCTTGGGAGTGCTCCTCAACCCATAGCTGTCCCTGGAAGCTCAGGTGACTGCGGTGGCGAGGAGCACTTTCCTTCAGCTTCGGTTAATGTATCAGCTGCATCCCTACCTGGAGGACGATTGCCTAGCGACAGTGACACATGCATTGGCTACTCCCCGGTTGGATTTCTGTAACATGCTCTATGTGGGGCTGCCCTTGAAGACAGTCCGGATACTTCAGAAGGTGCAAAATAGAGCAGCCAGGTTGCTGATGGGGACTGGGCGTTATTCTCATATAACCCCAGACCTCTACCAGCTTCACTGGCTTTCCATCAAAGTCCAGGCTCAATTCAAGGTGCTGGTTATTACCTATAAAGTCCTTAACGGCTTGGGACCTGGGTACTTAAAGGAACGCCTTCTTCCGTATTTGCCCTCCCGCCCCCTGAGATTGGCAGCAGAGGCCCTCCTCCGGGAACCCTCCGTGAAAGACATTAGGAGGCAAAGTACCCGGAGGATGGCTTTCTCTGCGGTGGCGCCCTGCCTATGGAATGCGCTCCCCAGAGAGGTCTGCCTGGCGCCGCCGTCATTTGCTTTTCGGCGCCAGGCTAAGACCTTTTTATTTGAACAATATTTTAATGACTTTTAACATCAGCTTATAGGTTTTAATCTGCAGCCAGGGTGGATCTGGATTGTATTTGTATTATGTTTTATTTTATTTTAAGTAAGCCGTCCTGAGGCTCTGTGATGGGTCGGCATACAAATACTCTAAATAAATAAAATAAATAAATGCTGTCCCTCTTGTTTCTGCTGTTGGGCTGAAGGTGAGAGTGTGGGAGGTCAGCAAGGAAACACGAAAACTGGAAGAGGTAATGAAGGAGCACATCTCTTCTATTTCATGCATCAAGATCAAGAAGGATAACCGAGAGTGTGTAACGGCCAGCATTGATGGAACATGCATTATCTGGGATCTTGTGTAAGGTCACTCTTGTTTGGAGTTGTGACTATCTTAGCTACAGTATAGTACTAAGCATTCCTTCTTTCACAGCATTTCTTCTTTTTAATAGAGGGTAATCTTGCATATTCCAGGCTTGGCTATGCTGTCCAAAAACAGCAACCCCCCCTCCCCCAAGCAGGGTCACAAGCAGCCCTCTGTCTAAAGCAGCCCTCTGGGATTGCAGTGCTTGAGTTCATCTACCTCAGCAAGCAAAAGAGACTTGGCTGTTTCCTAAAACACAGATCCATATGTCAGTGATTAAAAGCAGGAATGATTATTATTGGTGGGAGGAGCATAGGTAGACCAAATTTAACTTCAAAAACGAGAGAGTCTTTTCCCCCCCACTAGTCGCTTCATGAGACGCCAGATGATCTTGGCCAACACCTTGTTCAAATGTGTGTGTTATCATCCTGATGAGCACCAGCTTATCACAAGTGGCACAGACCGGAAGGTGAGTGACCGTGTGGGGTAAAGGGAAGCACTTGGAGATGAATCTCACAAGACTGATCGTTGCGGATTCTATGTTACATGTAAGTATATTGATTTTTTTTTTGTCTTTTTAACATGCGTCATCCTGTTTATTTTACATACCTTTTTACTGCTTATTTTTAATAACTCTGATGTCCTGATGTATGGAAAGTTCTGTGGATTAAATAAATACAATTTTGAGTGGTTGGTTGGATCATTGCCTGGGAATGATATATTTACTGCATCTTAATAAATGTATGAAATGGATTCCTTGTTGCTGTACAACCGAAGCCACACACAGTTTTTCTAAATCAGATTTCTCCTTGGCTTCTAGATTGGTTACTGGGAGGTATTTGATGGCTCTCCAATCAGAAACCTGGAGGGCTCCCTGTCTGGCTCCATCAATGGGATGGATATTACATCAGATGGTGCCTACTTTGTCACTGGTGAGCTGAATGAATTTTTAAGGCCTTATACTGTGGAGATTCTGTTCTCCCTCTGCAAGAGATGTTCTCTCCATATGCTGGCAGGATTTAGTGCTATTGAGAGCTGAGACTAAATCCTCTGCAGAGGCCAGAGATTGATATGACGGAGAAGGAAATTGGATTTAGCTTTGGAAAAAGGGGGATGGTGGGGAACCCATGTAACCTCGAAATGAAAAAATCTTGAAAGAGTGTTATGGATGACTTCACTTTGGGGTCCCAATTGAAGCTCACTGTTAGACTGGAGAGTCACAGTCCTAGTTCATGCATTTCTGTCATGGCTTCCAACCCTGTTCCCTTCTTCCATTCATTTGGTATAACTCCCAGTACCCTTTCTTTGCTCACAAAGCCTAGGACCTTAAATTGCATTCCGCTTTCATTTCAGTCCTGACATTCAGCCTATATATTATTGGAGCATTTGTTCGCTGAGTGTGACTCATAATGTAGCCAACAGCACCATGCTTGTGCAAGGAGATATAAACAGACTGGGACAGGGGGACTCCACAATTTTGGAAGTACAAATATTCTTCAGAAGAAGGCTCTAATTGCAGGGAGCTCCAAAACAACTCTGTGGGGACATGCTCAGTGGGCAGCAAATGCTGTCTGTTTTGGTGAGGGGAATGGAATAGAAGATGCAGTGGTACCTTGGCTCACAAACTTAATCCGTTCCACGACTTTGGTCACCACCCAAATTGGTCATGAGCCAAGTCAAATTCCCCCATTAGGTTCAATGTAAATAAAGTTAATCCATTCTGTAACCATTTTTTAATCACAAAAATTTGAAACAAAGTAACAAAGAACAACAACGATCACAGCCATCTCCCTCCCAAGCACAATCTCATGGTGGTCTACCCCACCATGAGCATGACCACGATCGTGCCCATCTTTCCTGCACGAGCGTGACCGTGATCACGGCCATCTCCCCAGCCCCCCGAGTACGATCACGGCCATCTCCCCCCCCCCCCCCAGCATGACCACGATCGCACCCATGCAGGGAAGACGGGTGAGATCACGATCATTACCTGATGCAGAGTTTGCGACCTGAGGCAATTTTTTCCTGAAATTTCTGTTTGCAACCCGATTTGGTCATGAACTGAGGTGTTTGTGAGCCGAGGTACCACTGTAGTGGAAAAAGACATGGCTGACTGAATCCCTGAACAGGAGCACTCAACACTGCAACTTTTCATTTCAGGCCACACCTCTCTGTTTACTTCTGAAATGGAACAGTGACTGTCTTACAGGAAGTCTAACGTTTTTTCTCTCCACTACAGGAGGAGATGACCATCTAGTGAAAGTGTGGGACTACAATGAGGGTGAAGTGACTTTTGTTGGAGTTGGCCACAGTGGCAGCATCACCCGCCTAAAAATCTGCCCGAACAACAAATTCATTGTGAGTGTAAGTGCGGACGGTGCCATCCTTCGCTGGAAGTACCCTTATGCCAAGTAATGCCTCGGAACAGCAGATACTTCTGCTGCTGCTGTGCTTTTTTAAAAATCTAGTTTTTAAAATAATAGCTTATGCTTATAGTGTTATTAAAATTTAGTATCTCTTGGTGTTCCTAAGGGAGATACTGAATTGTTTCCTTTTAATTTTTTAAAAATTTGTTGGAGATAGTGAGACTCTCCTAGTATTATTGGCCATTGGGTCAGGTCCCAGTTGTTCAGATTAGTTTTATTTAGTCACTGTGAACCCCAAATATTTATCCTATTTATGCTTGTGATTTAACCTGTTGTAAATGTCAGTGAAGAATCATTGTCATGCCCTGCCCCCACCATTTTACAATGAATTCCTTGTGATGGAAAACTACTCTTTGGTGTGCATCTTTCATTATCCTTTTCTCAAAAAACCAGAGGAACTTAGAAACATAACAGAAATTCATGCATTTGGAAAGGACTCTAAAAAATCACCTCATTCAAGCATACAGTGCTGCAATGATTGCAAACCCCGGCAGCTTCTTCAAGGTAGGGGCATTGGAAGCTGCCTTATACGGAGTCAGGCCATTCTTCCTTCCAGATCAGTGTTATCCACACTGACAGCTAGTGGCTTTCTGGGGTTTTTGACTGAGACCTTTCCTTAGGGTGTACTGCAGGCAAACCATGGCCTGTCCCACTGAGTTACAGCCCTTATCCTCTTGGTAAGATTCTTATCCAAGTAAATTGTATAGGATTGTAGTCTAAGGCTCTTGGACACCTTAAAGCTCCATTTGACTTTGGAAGCCATTAGATCCATTCAAAATGTGACACAGTAATTGTGCATTTGGTCTTTTATCTACAGTATTTGGCCCTGTATCAGCACAGAGCATGTACATCTACTTCCAGGCAAGAAGTGCTCCCTTAGGCAAAGCAGCAGTTCAGAACCATTTGGTTTTACCTCTTCTGGAGACAGGAAATGCTCAGCAATCCTGCCCTGGAACCTGCAGGTTTGAGAGAGCTGGGAACTTGATGATACTGTTAGAGGAATGCTGAGGATTTTACTGTTGACAGGCTTAGCTTGATCTGGACATGGTGCAAAGAGGGTGCACTGTTGCTCCCCGTCTTTTCTGCACATCTCAATGCTATCATATTAAGAGGCAGCTAAGAAGCCCACTTAGTTCTTGTTGGAGCCTGGTGTGATGGCAATTTGCATTCCTTCACTGTGACCTTCAAGCTAAGCTCCACCCATAGTGATCAAAAAGCTGAGAAGGTAGTTTGTCCCAGGGAGTCAAACGCTGTTCACACAGCCCCCCAAAGAAGCTTTTATCTGGGAAGATAAAGTACCAGCATTCCTTCCTCCCTACCAATCCTTTGGTCTGTCATCCCTGGAATGTCTTTCTGTTTTACAGCAGTTGCCACTGCTGCTTGCTGCACTGGAAGAGTAGCTCTGTAAATAGAATGGTTTCAGGGACACAACGTCAATGCAGGAATAAAATTGCAAGATGTGTTTGTTTTATCACTAATCCACCTCTGGGGCAGAGGGAATGGTGCACACCATGCAAGACAAGTTCTGGAGTATTGAATCCAAATTTCAGCATATACTGATGAAACAAAGAAAGCTGGGGTGAACAAGACTCAAATGTTGTGTGAAAGTTTTGCAAGCTCCATTCTGCTCTCTGGTACCCAAAACAAATTCCTTGGCTCAGAATTCTATGAGTGTGTGTGTGTGTGTGTGTGTGTGTGTGTGTGTTTTGTACCTCTCTGATTGGTGGATCTTGGGGTTCTAGTAAATCCTTCAAACCTGAAGCCTGTCCACTCCTGCCCTACTGGATATCAGAAGCTGACCTATAATGGATGTGCACCTGCTCTGATTGCACCTGCTCTGCTGCATCTCTAACACTGGTTCCTTTCTATGCTATCAAGTCATTACCTGCAAGACCAGCTGGATCCATTGTCACAGCCTCCAGCTTAGCTGGTTCAAAGGCACTGGTCTCCCAATAGCAGGGTTCATTTTATGAAGTTCCCAAGGAACTTTGCTCTGGTGTGAGGCTATTAGCCTGCTCCTTTGGACATCAGTGATATTCTCTGGTATGCCTGCTTGTGAAGGGAACAGTCATCTCACTGCAGCATGTCCTTTAGGGTGTTTCTTATGTGACATCCCACTTCCAATACTACAGTGCACACATTGACCACAGTGATCACCATTTATTTGGTACAGCAAGGTGACAACTTCGGCACAGTTGAAGAGGCACAATGAGCCCCTTTCCTTTTGACCCACCGACAAAGCAGGAGTTTCTTGGGGCTTTCTCAGAATATAAACAGATAGTATCTATTTCTGGGTAGGGGCATAAACAAAGGTTAAAGGGACATAAACTTCCTGCTTCATCTTGACATACATATTTTTCTATTTGTAAGAAAACGGTGAGAGGTTGGCCACAACTGTGTGGGGGATTCCTGCAATCCAAACTTGAGTGAGCTTCAGGGGATGAAGATGACATAAAGACTTTGTCTTCATGCACAGTTAAGGTCAGCACACAGAGCAGTCACCTTTGGATGGCCAATTTCAGAAAGAATGTGATTCTCCAGCCTCCAACTGCCATTTCATTTCATTCATTACATTTTTGTATAGCCCAGTAACCAAAGCACTCAGTGTAACATTACAAGTGGAGGCATATGAATGTCAGCTGTCTTCACTTTTATGTTTCAGATGCCCCCCCTCAAAGCTGAGCTCTTCCCAACATAACACCTGCATTAACTAATTCACACTCACCTGAGGGTGAGAGGGAGAATTCACACACATGGATACATGACTCTATTATTATACATACACGTTGTATATGTACAGCTCCATGTACAAAGCAACTATTGAACTATGTGGCAAAACAGCATGGTTTCACATCACCTCAAATAAGATCCAGTGGAAGTTATTCACAATAGCAGCTGCAAGTGTGGATCAGTCCTCTCTCTTTGTTTCATGTTTGTCTCTCATATAAGAACCCGCAAGTGTCTTCCTGTTCTGAATCTTCATTCCCCCCATGGCTTATGTCACTTCATCTTCATTTCCGGTAAATGGGATGTCCTGGGGGTATAAAATGATTTCCCACCAATGTGCTTTCTTACTAGTTTAAGGTTGATTTCAACACGCCAGTGTTGGGCAACAGTGCAGTTTTATTGAAGCTGAAAAGCCATTGTCCAAGAAGAACCTGAGCTTTTCTACCAGTCTTTCCACAGGATGAAAGGCAGATGAAGATGGAGATTAAAGCATGGAACTGGGATTTGGTCACACAGCCCAACATGGAACACAGTTCACTCTAACAGCAACTCTCAGTACTCCTTCTTGCCTGCTCAATCGGCCATAAGATTTTGACTGGGAAAGTACACACTGTGATGCTTTCCTTCTATTAACCAAATTTGGAGATTGACCCATTAAGAATGAAAGATATGGGGGTATCATTCAATAGTACCAGCCAATATATCCACTAGAGGGCAGTGAAACACTTTTTTACTCCATTTGGGAAAAGTTCAGATTTGGATAGTAATAAGTGAAAAGAATTCCTTTACTTTAAACCAGCCTCTTTGTGAATTTGATTCGCTGTGGGAGAAACCTGAGAGAACTTATTATTTATGGATAAAATGTAACTTATCCTCTTTAGAGAGATTCAGGCCCCTTCTGGATAGAGTTGGATTCACAGCCTGTCAACATGGATTGTCTTCCTGGTTTGTTTGTGATTAACAACTCATAGTGCAGGATTTGCACGGAATGACAACCTACTATCCAAAAACAATCCATACTCTGGTGAACCATATTAGGATTAGAAATCCTAAGTATTTCTGGGTTGAAAATGTCTTTGCCGTCCTAGCTATTCATATGGCTGTCTTAAATGATTATCATGATCATTTTACAGTTCCATGAGGAACTGAGGCAGAGTTCAAATTTATTTATTTATTTATTTATTTATTCAATTTATATCCTGCCTTTTTCCTACAAAGGGCTCAAGGCAGCTTCCATCATTCTCCTCCTCCATCTTATCCCCACAAATGCCATACAGAGACAAGTAGAGCTGGCTGTGCTTGTCTCATTCAAAGTTTCTATACCTGCCAACATCATGACATATCAAAATATACAAGTTTTGCCTAATGGAATAAAAACAATCCTCCAGCTATCACCTCTAATTCTACTTCCTTGGATTGAAATGGATTAATAACAGACGTCTATACACATATGTGGGACCCGTTAAGGCACAATCAGAGGATTCCAGTGCACCCATCAATTTCTATCTCTCCTCTATTATATGGACACACAGTGACTTTCCTATGTTTTTCCTGTGACTTTGCCATGCATTTTCTCATAGCAACTTTTCAGGACTGAGAGAGGTTAGATACAGAAAATGAATAAAGCAGGCATCTTGCAAAAGCAGCTACTGTGTTTTGTATTTGCCTGTTTAAATGTTTTTTCATGCAGATTTGCAGCATGATTTTTGCACTAACAATATTTTGGTAGAAGGAATTTTGGCAGTTGCACATATCATACAGAAAGGCACTGTGTGGAGTTCCCTTTTCTGCCCAACTGTTAGGATGGCAGGAGGAGTCTCCAGATTTGGGCCAGCCTTTTCCAAATAGCAACTTCCCCAGATGTTGTTTTGATTCACTAAATCTGCATTGCAGATTGCTCAGCCCAGTGCTCCCACTGTGGCACCAGCAGTGTAGATGGGTGGGGGCAGGGAGGGGGGCCACATGGGCTAAAATATCTAGCAGGGATAGCTGTGAGACCTGGGTGTACAATGAAGGCAGATAATTGCACTTCAAAGCCATACTGGGGATGCAAGTTTAGTCATACCTGGAGGAACTCAAAAGTGCTGAGGGACAAAGGCCCCCATGCACCAAATTTGCATTTTCTCTCTCTCTGTGTGCGGTTTTTCATTTCCGCATCACAGCATATCACCTCATACATGGATTCATGGATTCTGGCTTCTTATTTCTGAAGGGATGAGCATGGAACTGATATGCGAAATGCATGCTCTGTGGAGCTGAACAGCTAGGCCCCATGCATATTCATTACAAGCAGAGGGAAATCACCACAAACACAACGCATCAGCTACCACAGCAGAGGGGTAGCTGAGTTCCTGGCTGACCTTTCCTATTGAAAATCAGTGGAGCATGTCTGTGGCAGTTTTTCAGGTTGATGAGAGCTCCTCACGAAAGCCACATTCATGTGCTTCTCTGCCATTCGTACTTGCACTGTATCCATCTTTTAATACAGTTACCAACTTTGTTATTCATAATTGAACTGTGTCAGAACACTTTAGGAGAA